CACACACACACACACACACACACACAGATATTTCCCCTTATAACCTCCTCCACTGTCATCTCCAAATTATGTTTCACAGAAAAAAAAAACAAAAACAAGCTGATTTCCCAATAGACCTGAGAAAGCCTGGCCTCCTGTACAAACTCAGGCCAGTCGCTTCCCTGAAGTCCACAAACTGCTCTCAACAAAGACAGCTCACAGCACAGTGTGACTTGACTGTGTCCCCACCCGGGATAACACAAAAGCAGGTCTTGTCCATAACTCTGGTGAGAGTCACAGCAGCCCTTCTGCAAGGAGAAGAGAGGATTCTAGAATGTATTTCAGTTCTCCACTTAGAAAACAAACAATGCTAATAAAGCCAACCAAAAGCAAAAGCAAAGCTGGACCCTGCAAGTAAAGCCAGAGTCAACCTCACAACTGCTGCTGAGCACCATCCAAAGGAGAGGCAGGCTTGTAAAAAACATAACAGTGTCCTCACCTATCTTATTCACTGGATTTGACACTGTGTGACTCCTGGCTCTTCCTCAAAGTCAAAATGACCAGGGAAGGCGAACATTTTGAATGGATTCAGGACATTGAGGCAGCCAGAACAGTGCAACTAAAGACACTCATGAATGAGGACTCCAGAGCTGCTGCAGAAAGTGACAAGATGGATGGGATAAGTGTGTTCAAAGCAAATGAGAGTATTTTGAGAGGGATGAATGGCAATGCGACTCTTACCATAATTTTTTACATTTAAACATTCACCACACTTTTCAGTCACACCTTGTACCCTACCTGTGAGCGGGTAATTTATAAAGAATAGTTTATTTGGCTCCTCGTTCTGGAAGAGGGAACTCTGAGAACATGGTGCTAGCATCTGACCAGGTCTTCCCACTAGCGGCAACATGACATTGCTGAGCACTAAGACCTGGAAGCAGCCCTGTGGCTGGGAAAGACAATGGGACCTCAGGAGTTTCCAGAGTTTCAGAGGCTACAAGGACATTTCAACCCCCACAGAGGGTGTGATTCCCAATCTAGGCCTCTGGCCATGTCCTGGACACCTGCCTTCCTTCTCATCTCCCTGTCTCCTTTCCCTGGGTCACAGAGGGTAGGACCGGAAACAGTCCTGAGGTCGCTGTAGTTACTTATTCAGCCTCCAAAATCTACCCCTCCATCGCCACATTTTCAGAGAGGAGAAACTGGGGCTAAGTAGGTGGTTCCATTCAACTAATCGCGAACACCAGAGCCTCACAGCCTTCTAATTTCCGTGGAAAACAAGAGAATTAAGAGGCCCTATCTGTCATCTCCAGGGTTGCTGGAGGGACTGGTCCCAAAGCAGTCTCTGATTCTGGCTTTCCTGGGCCAAGGCCACGTGTGCAACCTTTCGTGACTTCCTGGGAAGAACCTACGGATGGGCTGAAGAGTGCTGGGTAAGAACAGTGTTTCCCAGCCCAGTGTTTCCCATAAGCTGGCTATGTATGCAGGCGCGGATTGTGACGCAGCGCGCTGCGTGCTCGGTGCGCAGGCGCTCTTGGCGGGGAACTGGTGGTTTCCGGTTCCGTTGCCCTCTTTCTCTTCAGGGAGGCAGCCGAGCGGCAGACGCAGAGATGCAGATCTTCGTGAGGATCCTGACGGGCAAGACCATCACCCTCGAGGTGGAGCTCAGTGACACCATCAAGAATGTCAGAGCCAAAATCCAAGACAAGGAGGGCATCCCCCCTGACCAGCAGCGTCTGATATTTGCCGGCAGACAGCTGGAGGATGGCCAAACTCTCTCTGACTACAACGTCCAGAAAGAGTCTACCCTGCACCTAGTGTTTCGCCTGCGAGGTGGGATCATCGAGTAGTCCCTGCGCCAGCTTGCCCAGAAGTACAACTGCGACAAGATGATCTGCCCCAAGTGTTATGCCCACCTGCACCCCCGTGCCGTCAACTGCCGCAAGAAGAAGTGTGGCCACACCAACAACCTGCACCCCAAGAAGAAGGTCAAGTAAAGCTCTCCGCCAGCCCCTCCTCCGGAAGGGCACCACCTGCCCAAGTGCACTGGCCTTGGGCCCCGAATAAAGTTTCCCTCCACACTTGACTGGAGCAGCAAAAAAAAAAAAAAAAAAGTGTTCCCAGAAGCCCTCACCTTTACACAATCATGGTATTGGGCCGGGGATTTAGCTCAATGGTTCTGGCACCTGCCTTGAAAATGCAGGTCCCGAGTTTGATCCCTGGTACCAAAAAACAAACAAACACAATGGTACTTGGAGGTGAGGACTCTGGGAGGTGACTTGGGTAGATGAGGCCATGAGGGTGGCACTCCCAAGGTGGCATCAGTGGCTTTGTGAGGACAGAGTCCAAGCTGGTGCCATCCCTCCATCTCTCCATGTGATACCCTGTGCCACCCTGTGCCAGGGAACAGTGCAGCTAAAGGCCTCACCTGTTGCCAAGCAGATGCCCAGCCTCCAGAACTGTGAGAAATGAACTTCCAACCAAACTGGTTCCCTCTGAGACTGGATTCAACCTGTGTGACAGCCATGGAGGAGGGCCTTCGGGTGCCACACACCACGGGAAGGAGGTTCTCAGACAGAATGGGGCAACATAATGTCCAGAGAGGGAACGGGCCGGGGAACTCAATGGGTGCCTGGTGGTGTGGGGTGGGGGACATGAGCTCTCTACTCAGCTCTGGGCAGCCAGCTCATCCTCGAAGGGGCCGGTGGTAAAGACTGTGGGTGATGAGACTCCAGTCCTTCCTTAGCTTCCTCCCCTAGAGGGCCCATATCACAGGGACTCACTGTGACTCATGAGAGACAAGGACCTTGTCCCAGGAGACTCCCATTCACTAGACCTGGGGCCAGCCTGGGGGTCCATGATGGGAAGAGGCTCTCTGGTTCTCACTTGAAGTCTGGCTTCCCATGCCCTGGCTGGGTGGCACAGGGCCCTCCTAGGTCAGCTGTGTTGCCAGATCCTGCACCTGAAAGCTGAGTGTCAGAGTGCAGTGACCATACTGCAGAACCCAGGCCACAAAAGTGAAAATGAGCTTCTGGGTCATCTGGATGCGCTCAGGATCTGGGCGGGGCTGGGAAGTCACCCCAGAAGCAGGGAGTGGGTGAACCCTTCCTGCCTCAGCCTCCCCAGTAGCAACCAGCCTGGTCTCAAGGAGAGCTTGTTCCATTGAACTTCAGCTCTCCACTGAAAACAGCCAGCCGTGTTCTAAAGGAGCAGCTGCCTGGGGAGGGGGAGGGGCTGCCTAAGTCCGCCCTGCAAAATTGACTTTTCTGTCAATGAGAACACAGCCTGGCTTTTACTTCCGCTGTGTGCTTTGGCAGTTCCAGCATGGCTGTAAAATTTATCCAAGGAAAACTGGCATTTATCTTGGGTTCACTTGCACTTGGCTAAACCGATAAACAGATGGGGGCTGGCCAGGCCATGGCTAATTTGGTTAGCACTTTACAAAATACAAATGTCACCCTTTATTTCTGCAGGGAGTATTTATTGCTAATTGGCAAGTTATTGGCCTGTTGTATTCTAACAGGATCGTTCACACCGTTTAAAGGATGGACTTCCTGATTTTTTGTGTGGCACCATTCATAATAGGTGTGGGGAGGGCACCCCAGTGGGAAGGGACTTTTTGCCATTGTTGGCAACAAAGCAGTAAAATCACCCTGCTGGGTCTGCCTATGCACACAAAGGGCACTTATCTGTAAGGTTGTGGAAGGAAAAAAAAGGAAAGAAAGGCAGAGAGTAAGAAGGAAAGAAAGAAATCAAGGAGATCTGACTGGAAGCTTGCAAAGGCGGTCAGGGCTCAGACCAACTGTCCCTCCCGGGTGTCTCCAGAGTTTTTTTTCTTTTGTGTCCATGCTAAAGGCACAGGGAGGATCAGAGACCTCATCCCAGCTCTGTTTGCTTTGGGAACAATCGGCGGTGTATGAATAATAATGCCTCCCTCTGACCATGACTAATTGAATTGCAGTGTGCAAGGCGGGCGGGTGAGGGGCTCATCGGCCAGTCCATCACCCTGGTACTCAAGTAGCCCGACAGTGATTGATGCCCGAGTTCCAGAGAGCGTCCTCCAGTGCCTAAGAGCGGGCCTGAACCTGCATCCCGAGTTTCTATTAGCCAGGGCCTCTAAGAGTCAGCCTAGGTCTAGTGACTGCAAGGTAGAGTAGGGGCTGATGGGTCCCCAGCATCCGCCCACACTGAGGTTAAGTGAGTCTTGATCGTGGGCTGAACAGGAAAAGCTTGTGCAGGGACCACCAGGCCACCGTGGGGCCACACCCACTAAGAGCACCCTTTAGGGAGTCATGGGGATCCTGCCTGGGGCACACAAAGGACCAAACAGTGAGATGCATCCTGGAAGAGGACACTTGGAGCCGGCACACAGGAAGGAGAGGGCAGTTGATGAGAGGGGAGAGACGGTCAGTTGGGATGGGTGTATGCCTTGTCTATCATCTAACAATGGATCGCATGGGGACCCTAACATTTGGCCGTCCCGGCTGCACCACTGTTTACACAGCAGGGCCTGCAGCTGGGGCCTGGCTCTGTTGGACCATGTTGTCAGGGCTGGAGGATGAGCCCTGAGCTGCAGTTGGATGTGCGCACAGCCCATGGCCCATTACCGGGTTGGGCTCCCCATCTTGGACTGTGCCGCTGGCCCAGCCACAGCCCGACACCTCGTCAGGACAGCTGTGAAGGCACCCTGGCTGTGTTTGGTGGCACAGGCCAGCTGGCACCTCAGCAAGACTTTGCAGGTGATCCTGGCCCAGGTGCCCCTCTCAGAGCGGCTAGAGCGGCACAGCTGGCTGGTGCCTAAAGTCTCAAAATTTTAAATCCCTCCACATAATTTCTCAGTAACTTCCTCATCCACTTATACTTTAAAATTTATCTGTGGGGTTTCTACCAGAAGTTACAATGGACACCCCATTTTCTCAGCTCCATTTTCTCATTTAGGTATGAAATAGTCAGTGCCCATTTCAGTCTTCACACAGATAACCAAAGGCCTCTTATTATCGTATACAAGTCTGTTTAACAAAGAAAATAGTAAAATATTTCAAATTTGTCTGTCAATCAATCTACTTATCAATCCATCTATCTATCATCTATCTATCACTCTCCTATGGTCTGCCTGTTGTCACTTTCATCTATCATTTATCTGTCTCCTGTTGCTCGCTACTTGTCAGCTATTTATCTATCACTTTACCTAGTAGGTAGGTAGCACTTTTTAGCTATCTAACAATTTAGCTATCTATCCACCTAGCAATCTATCATCTATTTGCTATCTATCTGCTACTTACCATCTCTTTATCTATCTATTTATCTATTTTATCTATTTAGCTAGCTAGCTACCTTTTTAACTAACCCTTTAGTTATCTATCAGTGTATCTATTTGTTATCTATCTGCTACCTAACATCTATCAGTCTAGCCCTCTAGTTAGCTTTCTAACTATCTAACAGCTTAGCTATCAATCTGTCTGTCCATCAGTCTACCTATCCACCTATCCAACTCTCTCTCTCTCTCTGTGGCAAGTCACTGAGGGACTGTCCCCTTCCTTGGCAGGTGGGGATGCCAGATGTTGTGCCCCAGATCCAACTGCTGCTTGCTGTTCAAAATGTGCAGAAATGGACTCTCAATAGATACTGCTTCCTAATACCACTTGACCAAATGGGCAAAATATCCAAAGAAAATTGTAGTTTTCCGGTGCTTGCATCACATGTGAATTATTTCCAATCCCTCAAATCCAGGCCGTCACAGCATTTTAGTCTCTATTCTAGCCCCCAGTCTAACCTACTAAACAAACAGTGTGACCACCCTGGCGTGGGCCACACTCCTGGGGTTAAGATATTCCACCTAAAATCCCTCCGCTCTTTCTGCTCTGATATTCATGGCCATTATTCTTGTGCTTTGAATACCAAACAAAGGCAGACAGTGCTGGCTTAGTGGCTGCACCAGGCAGCAAAGGATGGGCAAGGAGGAGCCTTTACCCTTCAGTGTGCATTTAGAAAATAAATATTCTGAACCCTGGCCCAGGAGCCAAGGACTTTGCTCTGTTACAAAGCGGCAGAAGTTATTAATAAGAGAAAGCAGAAGCCAATCTAATTTCTGCAGACTCAGAGGACAGCCTGTTTAGGGCAAACCTGGTGACTGCTGTCCCTGGGCCTCGGAGGCAGGGGTGGCTTGTGTCCAATGATGGAAGGGCCCCGGTAGGAGCCCTGCACGGTGTCTTCATTGCCCCAACTGCAGCACTGGAACTCCACACCCTGGGCCTTGATGGCACCCACACAGCCCACCACCTCTGCAAGGAAGCAGGCTCGAAGGGGATGGGTAGGGGGCAAGGAACAGTGAATAGGGAGAGGGCACCCAGGGAAGTAGGCTGGGGTCTCTAGGAGGAGAGGAGAGAGAATCAGAAGTCCTGCAGCCACCACAGGCCCCTCTTGGTTTCCTAAACCTGCAGGGCTGGGAGCAGAGCCAGGCCTTTGCCCACCAGCTGCCAGTGCTCCAAGTACAGACAACAAAAACTAGGTGACAAGCAAGAGAATTGTGTTGCTGTCAGAGTTGCCCCATTGTAGTTACTGCAGACCATAGACAAGGACGGATACTGTGGTGCTTCCAGTGCACCAGGCAGTCCTTCCGATCTTCCACGTTCACTGTGATCCTCTCAGAAATCTAGGCAGTAGATGCTATCATCCCCACTTGAAAGATTTGGCAGCTGAGGCCCAGAGGGAAGTGCCAGGTGCATGTGAGCCCAGCATTGTCCTCTGACCCCCAGCCTGGGTCCTGGGATTCTGAGAGTATCTCTAACAGGGACACACCATGCCACGAATACGGCAGCAGCAAGGCCTTGGAATTTCTGAAAATCCACATCTCTCTAGCTGGAACTGCTCGCACACTGTCCAGCATTTAAGCGGAATCTGAGTACAGAAAATTCCAGGACTCACTGTGGTTGTATGAAAGCCTCCTGCTTCCCATGGTGGTGGCTGCATAGAACAAAGACTGGAGAGTCCCCAGGACAAGCCAGCTCCTCCAGCTGAGTGAGGGCATTTCTGGCTCATCCTGCATTCTCAAGCACAGGAGACGCCGGTGTGCATTCGAGGCCTTTCTGAGATACTAACTGTTAAAATCAAAATGGCACCTCCTCTTCTCTTTGCACTTCTATTTGTGTGTTTACTCATTCTCTAGAAAACCACATCTGCTCGGGGCTGGCCACTGCGGTTTCATCTAAGAGAATAAAGTTCAAAAAACTCGCCATTCCTTCCAGAGGGGGTTGCTGAAATAAACTACACTTTTACACTGGATTTCTGCTCAAACAGCAAGAGAAGCCATCTAGCCTGAGGTGGAAAACTGTCCAAGGTATTTCATTAAGTGGATAGAGAGTTACACAAGGAGAAAGAGTTCTTCTTTATAAAATAGTCACACTGGGTTCTCCATGGAGGAGGCCTGAGGGTGCATATTCTGCTCAGCAACGGCCCTCTGCTGTGGGACGAAGGACAGCCTCTCTCCATGGGTTCTTCACTGATTTTTTATGGATGTGTATTTTTTCATTTTTATTTTCATTAGTCATGTGTGTAGTGCAAAATGGTTGCATTCCTCAGAGGGAATCGGCACCGACATGAGACGCAGCTTAATTCTTTTTACGTCCCTTTCTCTTCCCTCCCTCCATCTCTTGGTCTTCCCATTTGCAAAACATCACTATTTTTGACAGGAAAGGCATTTCTCAGAAAGCACTCAGTGAGCCCCACGGAGCACCCAGTTACCTCCTTCAGATCCCTGCTGCTGGGGTCCCCTTCTTGTGTGGGAGCTCCCCAGGGAAGAGCATGGAGGTCACTCCCGCTGCTGCTTCTTCTTGCTCTGCTCCGCCCCACCCTGCCTCAGCCTGCAGCCCTGAGGTCAGTCCTGCCTCTGTCTCTGCTGCTCACCCTCCTCATTAACAGATGCCCTGGGTGC